CTCTTGCACACGTGTGTGTCTGTGCCCCTACAGCAGCTCCTGCACACACGTGTGACAGCCGTGTCCCTGTCCACCAGGCAGCTCTTGCACACGTGTGTGTGTGTCTGTGCCCCAGAGCCACCCATACTCACATGTGACACTTGTGTCCCTGTCCACCAGGCAGCTCTTGCACACGTGTGTGTGTGTGTGTGCCCCCAGAGCAGCTCCTGTACACACGTGTGACACCCATGTCCCTGCACACCTGTCAGCTCTTGCACACGTGTGTGTCTGTGCCCCCAGAGCCACTCATACTCACGTGTGACACCCGTGTCCCTGCACACTTGGCAGCCCTTGCACATGTGTGTGTGTGTCTGTGCCCCCAGAGCAGCTCCTGTACACACGTGTGACACCCGTGTCCCTGCTCACCTGGCAGCCCTTGCACACGTGTGTGTCTGTGCCCACAGAGCAGCTCATGTACACGTGTGACACCCGTGTCCCTGCTCACCTGGCAGCCCTTGCACACGTGTGTGTGTGTGCCCCCAGAGCAGCTCCTGCACACATGTGTGACACCCGTGTCCCTGCACACCTGGCAGCTCTTGCACACATGTGTGTGTCTGTGCCCCCAGAGCCACTCATACTCACGTGTGACACCCGTGTCCCTGCCCACTTGGCAGCCCTTGCACACGTGTGTGTCTGTGCCCCTACAGCAGCTCCTGCACACACGTGTGACACCCGTGTCCCTGTCCACCAGGCAGCTCTTGCACACGTGTGTGTCTGTGCCCCCAGAGCAGCTCATGTAAACACGTGTGACACCTGTGTCCCTGCCCACTTGGCAGCCCTTGCACACGTGTGTGTGTGTCTGTGCCCCCAGAGCAGCTCCTGTACACACGTGTGACACCCGTGTCCCTGCACACCAGGCAGCCCTTGCACACGTGTGTGTCTGTGCCCCCAGAGCAGCTCCTGTACACCCGTGTGCTCATGTGTGACAGCTCCAATACACATGTGTGACAGCCATGTCCCTGTCCACCAGGCAGCCTTTGCACACGTGTGTGTCTGTGCCCCCAGAGCCACTCATACTCATGTGTGACACCCGTGTCCCTGCCCACTTGGCAGCCCTTGCACACGTGTGTGTCTGTGCCCCCAGAGCAGCTCCTGTACACACGTGTGACACCCATGTCCCTGCACACCAGGCAGCCCTTGCACACGTGTGTGTCTGTGCCCCCAGAGCAGCTCCTGTACACCCGTGTGACACCCATGTCCCTGCACACTTGGCAGCCCTTGCACACGTGTGTGTGTGTCTGTGCCCCCAGAGCAGCTCCTGTACACCCGTGTGCTCATGTGTGACAGCTCCTGCTCACGTGTGACACCTGTGTCCCTGCCCACCAGGCAGCCCTTGCACATGTGTGTGCCCACCAGTGTGACAGCTCACGCTCACACATGTTCCTGCCCACAGCTGTGCCCACACTGAGCAGCTCTTGCACACCCACGCCTGTTCAGGTGTGGGTCCCTGCCCTGCACACGCACGGGGGGAGCACACAGGGCAGCTCTTGCACACATGTGTGGCAGCTCCTGCCCGAACAGATGCCCTGGCACACAGGACAGCTCGTGCACACGCGTGTGTCCAAACCCACAGGGCAGCTCTTACACACACACATACACACACCTGTGCCCATAAATGAGCTCTTACACACACACCCACACCCATACACACCTGTGCAAATAAAGTAGCTCTCACACACACACATAGACACACCCGTGCCCATAAACCAGCTGTTACACACACACCCACGCGTGCCCACGCACACACACGCGTGCCCACACAGACCGAGCACCCCTTGCACATGCTTGCGCCCCTATTTGTGGAAGCCCTTGCCAAACCTGCGCGCCTGTGAACGCAGAGGAGCCCCTGCACACGCGTTCCAGCCCAGGAGGCACCTCTGCCACGCGCGTGTGCCCCTACGTGTGGCAGCTCCACGCGTGATCCCCGCACAGTGGGCAGCTCTGGCACACACGTATGGCCACGGAGCAGCCCTGGCGCACGCAGATACACACGCAGAGACACAGATGCACGCACACAGACACGCAGCCAGGCACACGGACACACGCGCGGACACACACGCGTGCCCACGCGTGTCCCCTCGCCCCGCCCGTGCCCACGTGTCCCCCGACCCCGCCACGCTGCAGCTGCGCGCCGTCCCCGCCAGGGGGCGCGGCGCCCGGCAGCCCCTTCCGGCGCGGGGCCTGCCGGGAGTTGTAGTCCCGCCCCGCTCCCCCCTCCCGGGCCCGGTGGCCGCGCCCCGGTGCCGGTGCGGCGGAGGCAGCGCACAGGCGGCTCACAGCCCCTTTATTGAGGTGGCGGGAGAAAAAGCGGGCGGCGGGGCCCGGCCTCCCCCGCGGATCCAGCGCTGCGCACTCGCTGCCCGCCGCTCAGGCCTGTGGCGGGGCCGGGGCGGGCCTGGCGAGAGAAGGGAGGGCGATGGCGTGAGGGTGGCGTCCGCACGACTCCCCTCGCCCCCGCTCTGCATCCCTGACCCCCTCCTTTCTCCTGGCCACCCCCTCTCCCCCAGCCGCCCTCCCCCCGGGTCTTGCAGCCCCACCCCGGCGCCCCTCAAAGCCCCGGACCCCATCCCCGCGCTGGCTCACCTGGCGGGGATCACGGTGACATAGGGGTGCCGGGCGGGGCTCTCCCCGCGGGGCAGCGACGGGCCCGGCGGGTCCGAGGGCAGCGGCCGCTGCGGCGGCGGGGGCTTGGCTGCACCTGGGGGCTGCAAGGGCACGGGGTGTCAGAGCCGGGCGCTGGGCCGACCCCCGCCCGGGGGGCTCGGGGGGCTCGGGGGGTGGCGGTCGCCCTGCCGCCCCACACGCGGGTGCCGCTGCGTTACCTGGGCGCTCGGCACAGGGTCTGCGGGCAGCGGGCGTGTGGGGGGGGGCGGCCTGTCCGAGGGGGGGGCCTGGGCAGACAGAGACGGAGGGGGACAGTGAGACGGAGGGGGACAAGCGGGGCGGCACGGGGAGCAGCCGTGTCACAAGTCCCCGAGAGCTGGAGCGCAGCCGGACATGCAGCGGGGCCGGGGTGGGCTGGGGGATACCTCCCCCCGCTGCCCGGGCATTACCTTGGGCACAGGGTCCGGCGGGAGAGGCCGGGAGGGCGGATCAGGCCGGGCTGAGCCGAGGGCAGCCGGCTGCGGAGAGAGGGAGAGGGGGGACAAGCCATGCAGCATGCGGAGACCCCCCTCCCGCCAGGCAGAGACAGAGAGCCCCCCTCAGTGCACAGCCCCGGCTGGGACGGGCTCCAACCCTGGCTGTGCCAGGCTGCTACGGGTGGGACGCCACGTGTGGGACGCTCTGAGCACCCCAGGACCGGAGAGAACTACCCCCAGCACCCCCATCCTCACCTTGCTGCCGTGCATGACCTGCAGCTCCGTGGCCTGGCGCCACTGCGGGGGCCGGGGACGCGCAGGGGGACCTTGGTTGCTGCCCGGCCGGGGTTCTGGCTGCGAGATCCTGCAGGGGAGACACAGCGTGAGACCGACCCTGCTCGCTCTGGGCACTCGGGGGAACCCGCACGGCGACCGAGCGACACCGACACCAGCAGAAGCCCAAGAGAAACGAACCCCTCGGCGCCGGAAGATGCGACACCCCGCACCCCGGGGCTGCCCCGCACCCCACGGGCACTGCCAGGGGAAGAGCGCAGCACCGGAGGCCTTGCGAAGCAGGACGGCTCGGGGACAGCCCCACGCCCGGGCGCCGGCGGTGACGTTACCCACTCCAGCCGTCTGCGGCTCCGGGACCCAGGAACCGCACCCGGGTCTCAGCACTGTGGGGAGAAGAGTGGGGGGCTCAGCCCGGGGCTGGGGGGGCGAGAGGAGCCGCGGGGATGTGGGGTGACGGGGCCGTGACCTGCACTGGGGACGCACACACACGCATGGGTGGTCACTGCGGGGACACGTTTGCACACGCGTGCTCACGTGCCAGGGCACACGCATGCAGGATGGAGCGTGCCACCCACGTGCCACGTGCAGAGGTGTGCGTGCCACCCGTGTGTCGCAGCACGCAGGAGCAGAGTCGAGCAGGCCACCGGCGTGCCACGGCGGACGCATGCAGAGGTGTGGCGTGCCCAGCTGCGTGCCGTGGCGCACGCGTGCAGAGGCCAGCATGCCACTTGCACGACACGCATGCGGAGGGTTGTGTGCCGCCCGCGTGTCACAACACACGTGTGGAAGTGAGTGTGTCACGGCACACGCATGCAGAGGTGAGCGTGGCAGCCGCGTGCCGCCGGTGTGCCTCGGCACGCGCATGCACAGGCGAGCGTGCCAACACTCACGTGCCAACACCCACGTGCCCCCCACACACCCCCGGTGTGCCCCCCTGTCCCCAGTACCTGTACTGGCAGGAGGTGCCTTTCCCAAGCTGGCAGAGGTGCTTGTGCAGGCCGGCACGGCGGGCACGGCACAGCCCCAGTGCCAGCGCCAGCCCCAGCAGCGCGCTCAGCAGCAGGGCCGTGGGCAGGGCGCTTCCCTCTGCGGGAGAGCAGCACGTCAGCCCCCGCCGTGCCCGTCCTCCCCCTGGCACCCGCACAATGCCCCATTCTCTGCGCTCGCCTCGTCCCTCACCTCGCTCAAGGCCGGCAGGGCCGCTGTCCTGGCTGCCCCCCACGCCGGGGCTGTCACAGCTTGGGGGGGCCCAGCCCCGCTCACAGTGGCAGTGCCCGTGGTTGTTGCACACCTGGGTGGGTGACACCAGCTCAGCTCAGCTCCTGAGGGGCAGGTCCCCGCTGCCAGCAGCCGCTCCCCAGCCCCACACTCACCCCGTGCCCATGGCATTTGCTCTGGCACTGCTGGTCACCCAGCATGGAGACGTTCTGGCACTGGTGCTGGAGGCACACCTGTGGAGGGTGGGTGTCAGCACTGGGAAACTCGCCCCAGGCCCTTCCCTCTTGTCCCACTGCTCACCTTCCCGGGGCCACAGGTGGTGCCAGGCAGCACCATGGCCGCATCGGCCACATCCTCATCCCCGGGCAGGGTGGTCCCCTGGCAGAACCCTTCTGGGCTGTCCCCAAGGGACCTGCCACGCTGGCACTGCAGCATTCCACAGCTGGTGTCCCTGCAGGGACAGAGGGGTCAGGGCAGGGGGCACGGCAGGGGGGGCATGGAGAAGGATGGGGACCTCACTCACTGCTGGGTGCAAGTGACATAGGAGCCGTTGGGGAGCTGCCCGCAGTGCCCACGTTCATCCCCTCTTGAGTTCAGGGCAGCCATGCAGGAGCTGGAGACAGGACTGGCACCTGCAGCGGGGGCAGAGACCCTCAGCACCTCTGCTTAGCTGCCAGCACCCCACCCTGGCACTGCTCTACCTGGCCCCAGCAGCTGCTGGCACTGCCCCTCGTAGGTGGCACAGGTCCCGCTGTAGCAGCGTGCCCGCCCGCCGGCGCAGGGCTGCCCGTCCTGCAGGAACGTGTCCGGGGGGCAGCGCGGCGAGACCCCGTCACAGAACTCGGGCAGGTCACACTCGCCCAGCAGCTCCCGACACACGTGGCCAGCACGGCGCAGCTGTGGGGGGACACGGTCAGATAAACGGGGTGAGTGGGGGGGACACGGTCAGATATAAATGGGGTGAGTGGGAGCACATGGTCAGATAAACGGGGTGAGTGGGGAGATATGGTCAGATAAATGGGGTGAGTGGGAGCACATGGTCAGATAAATGGGGTGAGTGGGGGGACACGGTCAGATAAACGGGGTGAGTGGGGGGACATGGTAAGATATAAATGGGGTGAGTGGGGGGACAGGGTCAGAAATGGGGTGAGTGGGGAGACATGGCCAGATAAACGGGGTGAGTGGGGGCACACGGTCAGATAAACGGGGTGAGTGGGGGGGACACGGTCAGATAAATGGGGTGAGTGGGGAGACATGGTCAGATATAAATGGGGTGAGTGGGGGGGACATGGTCAGATAAACGGGGTGAGTGGGGAGACATGGTCAGATAAACGGGGTGAGTGGGGAGACATGGTCAGATATAAACGGGGTGAGTGGGGAGACATGGCCAGATAAACGGGTGAGTGGGGAGACATGGTCAGATAAATGGGGTGAGTGGGGGACTCTCCCACCACCCAGTGTGCCCATGGCATGGGTGCCCATCCCCACGCACCTGGCAGTCCTCGCAGCAGGCATCCTCAGTGGCACACACGGCCCCTGGCATCAGCTGGCAGGAGCTGCTGTTGCAGCAAGGATCTGTGCACTCCTGCGGTGGGGGGGCTGCAGTCAGCAGGTGCCACCAGCGCCCAGCACCGGAAACCACCCTGCCAGCCCCAGGCACCCCTGGGCAGAGCCATGGAGAGATGGGGTGGCTCCAGGGCTTCAGGCCTACCCAGAGCCCCCCGTACCACGCTGAGGCCGCAGTCGCATTCCTCGCCCAGCTCTACGAAGTGGTTCCCACAGGTGGGGCTCCCTGTCAGGAGCTGGGGCTCGGGGACGTTGGAGAGGCACCAGCCCCGGCCCTGCTGCAGGCTGCGCTCCAGGTCCTGCCGGCTGCAGTTGCTGAAGCTCAAGCCAGGCGTCAAGCTGCAGAGGGAGGGAGGGGCTGTGAGGTGAGGAAGGGGCTTGGCCCCAGCCCCCCGAAGGGCTGCCCGCTGCCCTCACCCTGTGGGCGGTGCCATGATGCAGCCGCGGTCGTGCCGGAGGTCGCCGCAGTCGCAGAGGCGCCCGGCGCTGTCGTGGCGCATGCCCAGGTTGTGCCCCAGCTGATGGGCCACAGTGGAGGCCACCACGAGGACGCTGACCGAGTGGTCCTGTGGGACAGGAGGGTCAGAAAGTGCAGGTGGTGGGAGGATGGGGTGGGGGGACAGAGGTACTGACCATGCTGACCCCCCCGGAGCGCGTGGGGGAGCACACGGAGGCTTGAGTCGACATCCCCACTGAGACATCATCAAAGTGGGCACCCCTGGGGAGCGAGCACAGGGGGGTTGGGGGACTGCTGCGGCCTCGTCCCCCCGTCCCCACCCTGTCCCCCACTCACGTCAGGAGCTGGGCGTTGTCGTGGGGCAGCCGGGGCAGCAGCTCCTCCCGGCGCCAGCGCAGGAACCGCTCCAGCACCGCCCGGGCGCTGCCGCCCGCCGCGATCTTGTCACCCTCGCTCCAGACCTCCACTGCCAGCAGGGCCACCCGCACCCCCAGCGGGCGGAAGAACTGGGGGGGCACAGAGGGGTCAGAGCCCCCCCAGCACTGCAGGGGCACGGCCGGGCGCCGGGCTGGGGCGGACAGACACGACGGCGACTCACCACGTCCACCTGGTTGGCGATTTCCAGGGCCCGCGTGTGAACGCGCTGCAGGTTGGGGTAACGCTGGAACTGGGGAAACGGGGAGAGGGGTCAGAGGAGGGGCTGTGGGAAGGGCAGCCCCTGCTGTGGGGACACTGCCCAGCACTCACCGCAGCGTGGTCCACCACCATCACCAGCTCCACAAAGTGCTGCTGTGCCGCTGCCCGCTTGCCCTGGGGACAGAGAGGGGTCAGAGCGCTGACACACGGACACTCCGTGGGGCAAGACCCATGGGTGACCTACCCTCTGTGGCCAGGGCGGCTCTGTTGCCTCTGGCCCAGGGTGGGCGCCCTGCCTGCAGCTCTGGGGGTCCAGCCGAAGGTGGGATGCCATGTGCTGCCCTGGCGGGCTGCTGGTGTCCGGCTCCAGAGTGTAGCTCCTGGTGTCTGACAGCCAGAGGCGGCCGCTGGGGAAGGACAGAGGAGCTGGGATATGGAGCCCATCCCATCATCAGCACAGTGGGAGTGAGCTCACAGACCACTGGGCTTGGGGGCTCACCTGAGTCCAGCGCAGGCACACAGGTTGGCCCAGGAGCCGGGGAAGCCCTGCACTGTTCCCCGGTAGCAGCAGTGCTCCTGCAGCAGAGAAGGGAGCTCAGGATCCAGCCCCAGGCTGGAGTCCCCCTGGGGAACGGGGACAGCCTGGGGACAGCACAGGTGACAGCCATGCTGGGGGCCATACCTGCTGTCTGTGCTCCTGGATGACCTGTGTGCCATCGGGCAGGTAATAGAGCAGTGCCCCAGTGCCCTGCACCAGCTCCCTGCCAGAGACTCGTGTCACCCACAGCAGGAACCCCCAGCTCACCCTGCCCTGAGCACAGCCTGGCAGGAAGGGAGGACTCGGCACCTCCCACCCTGCCGTGGGTGCACCCTGGGGCCCCCACCCCAACTGTGCCATGGATGGAGACAGGGAATTAGAGACCCCCACTCTAAGTGCAGCACGGATAGAGGCAGAACCCCAGCTCCCAGGAGGACCCCCACCCTTGCATGGCTCCGGGAGCCCCCTCCCACACCCTGCTGAACCACAGACTCACCAGTTTTGCTCCAGCTCCAGCAGCAGCCGCATCCCCTCCAGCTCCAGCAGCACTGTCAGACGGGCGGGGAACCCCCCCTGGCACAGACCAGGGGTTAAGGGGGCACCCCCTGACCCACGCCGCCCCACACCCACGCACCGTGACCCGCCCGGCCCTGGCGCGTGCCCGGAGGGAGAGGTCGGAAGGGATGCCCTGCCCAGCCCGCAGGAAGCGTCCCTCCCTCCCGGCCTCATTGTGTCGGGGAAACGGGGGGTTGGACCGAGCGGGGCCCCCACCCCGTTCCCCCCGCTCTTCCTGCCCGGTGCAGCGCTGCGGAAATATGGGAGAGCCTCCCTGAGGCTGCAGGGTGGGCTGGGCCCTTCCACCCCACCCAGGAGGGGCGCGGGGTGGGTACCCCAACCCACAAAGGTCCCTCCCAGCATCAGGAGGGGAAGGGGGACCTGCTGAGGGCCCCCTCCCCACTGCTTGTGGGACACAGGGAGTTCTGGGTGCTGGGAGCCCCGGGGATGTGGCAGCGGGACACTGCATGTCCTGCACTGAAAAGAGGGCAGGGGGGAGGTGGCAGGGTGCAGGCACTGTCACAAGGGTGGGGGGCACTGAAAAGAGGGCAGGGGGGAGGTGGCAGGGTGCAGGCACTGTCACAAGCATGGGGGACACCAGGGATGTGGGCGAGGGCTCACCTGGGTGGCTTCGGCCAAGCTGAGTGTCCGGTTATCCCCCAGGACCCACGGGGTCACAGACCAGGAGTGTCCCAATTCCTCACTGTGCTGCTGCTGCTGCTGCAAGCTGTCACCTGCACAGGGTGACACCACCGTGTCACCCAGCACAGCCAGACCCCCGCGGTCACCCAGCACAGCCCAGACCCTCCCAGTCACCCATCACACCCTGATCACCCACCAAAGTCCCGTCACCCAAGGCATTGTCACCTGCTGCAGCCCCCCAGGACAGGTGGGAAGCAGCGACAGGGACCCCCACGTTCACCTCCCAGCAGAGGCTGTGGGGAACCCCCCGTTTGGGGGCTGCAGGAGGATGGGATGGGCTGCTCGGCCAAGCCTTGCATCACCTCGGCCGCCTGCCCAGTACAACCAGCACAGAGACTGGGCAGGGCTGGGAGCTGGACTCGGCTGACTCAGACCCTCCCTCCCGCCAGCTTTTGGGGAACCCCTGCCTGCCCAGGGCCCGCGGATGTGGTTTGGAGGGAGCACCCAAACCCGGCTCTGCACGGCCCCAGCAGCCCGGGGAGCGCCGGGGCAGAACCGCGGGACCGGGGGAGCACCGAGCATCCCGGGGAAGGGGCACCGAGCATCCCGGGGAGGGGGCACCGAGCATCCCGGGGAAGGGGCACCGCGCATCCCGGGGAGGGGGCACCGCGCATCCCGGGGAAGGGGCACCGCGCATCCCGGGGAGGGGGCACCGCGCATCCCGGGGAAGGGGCACCGCGCATCCCGGGGAGGGGGCACCGAGCATCCCGGGGACGGGGACCGCACGTCCCGGGGAGGGGGACCGCACGTCCCGGGAGCGCACCGAGCGTACCGGGAGGACACACCGGACATCCTGAGGAGGTGACAGCGAGCTCCCAGAGGGACTACGACTCCCGATCCCATCGCACTCCTCCCGGGCCGCTCCCTGGGTATCCCCGCGATGTCCCCACCGGGGCCGAGCCGCGCTCCCCACCGACCCCCGCATCCCGCTCGGGACCCCCGCTCACCTGCGGCGAGCAGCAGCCCCGCGGCGAGCAGCAGCCGCGGCCCCATCGCCGCCGTGGCCCTCCGGCCGGTTCCCGTCGCGCATGGCCCCGGCACCGGCACCGGCACCGACCCCGCCCGGCCCGGCCCGGGGGCGGAACTTCCCCGCCAGCCCCGCGGCCCCGTTCCGCTCCTCCGGCACCGCCCAGGCCGGGGCGGAGCGGGGGAGGTTCCCTGTGCGCCGGGCGGGGCTGGGGGTGGCTGTCGGGAGCCGGTGGTGCTGCTGCCCGGGGGACCCCTCCCCATCCCGAGAGCCCTGCCCTCATCATCCCGTAGAGTGGAGACCCCCACCTTCACCTCCCGGGGGAACAGAGGCACTCACTTTCACCATCTCATGCCCTGGAGACCCCTCCTCATCATCCTGTACACTGGAGACCCCCACCTTCACCTCCCCTGAGAGCAGAGGCTCCCACCTTCACCATCTCATGCTCCGGAGACCCCTCCTCATCATCCCGTACAGTGGAGACCCCCACCTTCACCACCCGGGGGAACAGAAGCACCCACCTTCACCATCTCACGCTCTGGAGACCCCTCCTCATCATCCTGTACACTGGAGACCCCCATCTTCACCTCCCGGGAGAACAGAGGCACCCACCTTCACCATCTCATGCTCTGGAGACCCCTCCTCATCATCCTGTACACTGGAGACTCCCGGGGAGAGCAGAGGCACCCACCTTCACCATCTCATGCTCTGGAGACCCCTCCTCATCATCCCGTAGAGTGGAGACCCCCCGGGAGAGCAGAGGCACCCACCTTCACCATCTCATGCTCTGGAGACCCCTCCTCATCATCCTGTACACTGGAGACCCCCCGGGAGAGCAGAGGCACCCACCTTCACCATCTCATGCTCTGGAGACCCCTCCCCATCATCCTGTACACTGGAGACCCCCACCTTCAGCACGCCGGCTGGCAGAGCCCCCTGCTGCCATCCCCCAGGGCAGGAGAGACCCCCACATCACAGCAGAGACACCCCCCCTCACCAGCCCGTGCTCCACCACCCCTGCCTTTATCTCCTCGTGCAATGGAGACCCCCACCTTCATCACCGCAGGCAGCAGAGACCCCCACCCTCCTAACCCAGACACCACCCGGCCCCACCTTCACCTTTTTAAAACCAGATATAAGTGAGGAGACTGAGAGAAAGATTGTGGCTGGTTTTTATTTGTTTTCTTCTTTCTTCCAAGTGACTGGTCCTTGTCGAGGGAGGTTGCTTCCTTGAAAGCTTTCTTCCCCTTTTTTTTCCACACGGAAACTTTTGATTTTATTATGAAACACTACCATCCACGAAAAGGACTATTTAAAGGAAAGAAACATATGGTAGTTCCCTTCCTCTATTTATCAGTGTTTGATTTAAGTAAAAATTAAGTGTGGCACGGGTGCAAAAGTAAAATTTTAGAATTCTAGATGAGGGGTCCAAAGGGGACAAGCTGGAGGAAATTGGGTGTGCCTTGTCCTTTTTCTCCTTCTTCATGCCCTCCATGTCTCACTGTGGTGTTGGCATTTTTCTGTTGGTTCAGGCTGGGGACACACTGTCCAACGTAGGTGACAGATATTGTCACGTTCTTGTAAATCCAGCCCAGGGAGTTTCTGGTATTTAATGTTTGTCACATCCCACTGAGGGCAGAGCCCCACACGCTGCCCTGCAGGACAGAGCTGGGCAGGGCAGACAGAACATGTTGTAAATAAACAAAAATAAACAACCTTAAAAACCAGCACAGACGAATTATGACTTTTTCTTTGGCAGTGGGGCAGAAAGACAGAGACTTTTACAATCTGGGAATCATCAATACCTCAGATTCCGACATATTTCTGTGTGGAAGAGGTTTTACAGTGACTTCTGTGAGCAGAGAGGTTTGAGAAGAAAATCCATGTTTACCCCTGAAAGAATTTTCCACCGAGGTTGTTGACATAGAAACCAAGAAAGAAAGAAGGATAAAGAAGAGAAACCTGCAACTGCCTCCTCCAAGAAACACTTTGTTTATCTTTCCTGACCAATGAGTGAAGTGTAAATTTGTGAGTTTTGTAAGAATGTAGAAAAAGCATGCTAGAATAAAACCAGCTTTGAAGCCTTCTGAAAATGGAGTGTGCTGCTTCGTATTTTCTCTGTCTCAACTACGACATTTCTGCACTTTTGCAAACAAGTATTAAACATTCATGGTCTACAAGTTACACAGTTCCTCATTAATGAGTATTAATTAGTATTTTCTCTTCTATTGGTTAAATGATTCGCTTCTCATGCTAATTAGGGTCGAGTGTTCTCCTTTTGGGTCGGTGGGTTTCTTGACTCAGTGGTCGTGATCTTCCCTTGCTGCAGTTAGCCACTTTTCCCTTTTGGATGATTCCTGGCCTTGTTTGCTCCTCTCCATCTCGTGGCTCTGTGGCCAAATGTCCCTGGTCGGTGTCTTCAGTGTCCCATGGGCTCTGGTCCCCACTGATTTATTGGCTGAAGTTTCTTCTCTCCACAACTGCTGAGGCTTATTAAAGCTCTAATTACTGAGATGTAATTACAGAATTTCTCTGTTTGGAAGATGAACATCAGGGTGAGCAGCACCCATGTCGAGCTTTTGCTGGGTCTGAGGTTCTCAAAGAGACACGAGCAGTCGTGGATTGTTTATGTTGGAACTCAAAATGTCCCTCAGATGTTTTTAGAGGTTCCAGGCCCAGGTCAGAAGCATTTGAGACCCTGGCAGGCAGCTGGAAACAGCTGTGATTTTGAGTTGGAGCCATGGGATGAGTTACCAACTTTGGAGGTGGAACAAGCAGTCACAAAGGGTTAGATAGTATGGTAAAAGTAGTTACAAAACAGAGGGGAATTTTTTTTTAGTATTGTACAGGGGGTTTTAGCACCTGTCCAGGAGGATTTTTACTTTGTACATGGGGGTCAGAAGTTCTAAGATGGAGGAAAGTGGGCTGATCCTGTTCTTCCTCCTTCTTCTTCCTCACCTCCATGTTCTTGGTGATGTTGGCACTTATGGATTGGTTTAGAGGAGAAAATCACCTTTTAATATAGGTAGTAGGTATTGGGGGAAAACTATAAACATGTAATATGTAATATATCATATAAAAGATAGCAGCAGCCCTGGGCGAGGGCAGAGAAGATGTTGTGATGGTTGATGATGATCCTTGTACCCCGCTTCAGGGCTTTTTATTTGTAAAACACCCAGTTAGCTAAAAGCACAATTCTAAAACATTCTTTCTACACTGATCTGAACTTGATTCTGATGTGCGAAAGTGGTACAAAACTAATACAAAAGCACTGTCAGTTCTTACCTAAAACACTATGCATATATTAATATCTATTTATGAAAATATACTGTTTTCTTACTTTAAATTTATCTGAATAATTTTATCTATTTATGTGAGTCATTCTATCTATTTAGGCATGTCATTTTATCAATTTTATGTGAGTAATTCTATCTGCTCTAGTGGCAGGGTTCTGCTATGTTTTCTTACGTCTAGGGCTAGGTTGCTGAAATTTTAACTAGGCCTTAGGGCCTTTATTAGTTAATACAAATTCTTAAGCCGCTTAAAATATATTTCTACTTACTTAAAACCTAAAACTTAAACTTACTTAAAACTGCAACTTACACTTCTATTTAATTAAAACTTAAACCTACACTTCTACTTCATATCTATGTGGCTTAATAGAACTTAATTTCTCTGAAGGCTTTAATTCAATCTGAGAGGAATATTGGATTTGTCTTTACAAACAAGCTGTGGGTCTGCTGATAGATAAAACCAGGGCTGAGAGATAAAAGGAATAATGGGAAGGATTTCACTGATTGATGAATGGAAAGAGATATTTGATTTTACAAATAAACTTTAGGTTTGCTGATAAATGAAATTGGATATTGCAAGGTACGAAAAATGAATATTATATGGTTCTATGCAGTATGTATTATGTTATATTGATTAGTTGTGCTTTTGTAGTTAAAATGAAGACTTTAGTAGTTAAAAAAATAAAGACTCTGTATGTGGGGGGGAAGTTTTTTGTCTGTTTTTTTTTTTTTTTAAATTAAATACTAGCTTCAAAGAACACCTAAATCTTCCGAAGGAGAAGAATTTATAGCTTCTGATGAGAAGAAACTAATTTCTTCAAGCCTTGCTCAAATTCAAAGACGCCAGGTAGATTAAAGGAAACAGTTAACATACAGCAGAGTTTCTTGTTTTAAATAGAATGTATACATAACCATAAAAGATATATGAATATGCAACAAGTATATTATTTTAAAGGTAATTCCTTTGTTCACAAAACATGCTTTTCACCACTTAGTATCCAAAAGCATCCAAACGTCCGTAATTCTTTGCCTTTTATTATCTTATAATTGTCCTAAGTCTAAACTTTATTACTTTAATTGTATTACTATTTTAATAAGCATGTTATTATTATTAAACTTGAAAAAATTAGCGTTTTTCACAAAAGGTGACAGAAACGACGGGAGAAACCCCTAAATTCTGTAAGAATTAAAAATTAAAAAGGCGGGTTATACATTGGAGGAGAATCTTTGGTATCAGACGTTTTGGCAAGT